AAATAATGGTAATTGAAAATCATTAAATCTAATAAATATCAATGTAATTTAATTTGAGCTTTATTGGAATAACCAATGAAAATTTTCAATAAAAGCTATACAATGAAATATCTATTGAAATTTTCGGTAGAATGTCAATCGTCGAATTTTTCATTGCAATATAGCAATTTTTTATTTTCATTCTAAACAGTTAAGTTTCTTATGCACTATTTTTTATTAATAATTAACTATGTTTATGATTTTTCTATTAATAATATATTAAGCACATAAAGTTTTTAGTCCATATTTTTTTTAGAAACCATTCATTATTTTATCTCAAGATTACCCATTAATTTCTCAATTGAATTACATTTATGACATATTAAATAACAAAAATAATTATTATTATACATAATATTATATCTAAAATACTAATAGCAAATAAAAGGTTAAAAATTAGAATAATCAAGTTTTTTTTTTTTTTTAAGTTCTAACCTACAGGGATAAAAATACAAAAAACTATTGTCTTTCACCTAAAACTTATTCATATAATTAACAAGCATTTAACAACTCAACTCGTTTAAGTACAAGTTATAAAAGTTTATATTTACTTTTATTATTTATATCATTATTATTTATTACATTTTCCATATTTATTAGTAAGTGTTACGACTTAATACTTTTAACATTACTTATCATATTTAATACTTTTTTCACTTTATATTTGTTTCATAGGTTTTTATTATATATATACACATATGTGTGTGTGCGCGCGAGTGTGTGCATGTGTGTGAGAGAGAGTGAGAGTGAGAGAGAGAGTATAAAACTTTTAGATATGTAAAAATGTATAAAATTAAATATATAACTTTTTTTTGGTTATATGTCTTATTATGAATCAATTAATTGTATATCTTTATATTATTATATATGATTACAATTTTATTTAGACTTATTACTAAATTACTTAAGTCATTTACTTATTTATTTAATACTCTAATTTCATTTTCTTCTTCATGTATATTTTTAATACTGAATGGTTTTTCTCTTTCGTTTCTTTCAACTAAATCATTATTATATGAGTGTCTTCCTAATGTCAATGGTGCTTTACTAATCATTCTCATACTATGTTGTCTTAAAAAATCTTTTTGAATGCTATCATTTTTTATAATTGTACTTGTTTCATTAAATATTTTTTCCGTATATATTTTGTCCTGATTTTGATAATGCATACTTAAACTACTATTACTTAATGCATATGAAATTCTATAACAAACTACCATAGGTAGGTCTCCTGATCCCATTAATGTTTTTTCTTGAAAATTGCATATTATTCCTAAACAGTTATTTATTTTCTTAGTTACTAATGGTATAGGAAATTGTAATGATACATTAAATTTAATCACTCCATATCCGAGATCTCCTTCTATTTCTTCTAATTTTCTTGATTCTTTATGCATGATTCTATTGTCTTCAACTATAATGTTTACAGGTATCTTGATTCCTTCTCTAAATGTTGATTTTAATATGATTTGAATTGTGTTTATATGTATATATCCTATTTTCTTTCTCTCTTCTTCTTTTATTTTTTCTAATCTTTTTTCTATCTGACTAATTTCTACAAGAGGTGCTTGAAACTTATAGTTAGCTTGCTCTATTTTTATAGGTTGTTCTCCATTCATAATTCTATACACTATTGTATTTCTTCTAATTAATTTGTTT